CCTGGCCCTGATGTAAGTGAACAAATACAACCGAAGACAGTGAAATACTTTATAAAATTTTCTTTATTAGCACGAGGAAGGCAAGTCTTAACTTGAGGACCGTTGTCCAGAGACGAAAAACTATTTCAAAGGGAAAAACACTCAGGGAAAGGAATAAACCGAAAAACAATTTTATAACTGAAAGGGACACAGTCCTTTGTTGAAATTTCAGCATATGTTTAGGATTAAATCACTCTCGAGTTTGGAGTACAACCGATCGTAAATTAGTCCCTTAGTAGAGCTATTTTCCAGAATGTTTAGGATGGTGTCAAGTGATTTTTGTAGGACAATGAAAGAGCCGTACTAAAATATTCCAACAGTTTATGATAAAACAGGATCCCCCCCGTTCGGGTGGTTTAGATGTAGGTTAAGGGTTAGGGGGATTTTTGAGAAGGATAGGGTGAGCCCTCCGGATCAGGTAGGTCCGGCTAAAAAACCGGCGCCCCAAGGAAAAGGGTTCTGGGAATCGACTGGTACGGGTGGAAGGCCGTATGGGGCAAAATTATTAATTACCCCGCGGATTGCCAAGGGTGATTACGGATGGAAGGCCGCTCGGGATGAAATCAGTCGTTATCCCGGCGGATCGCCAAAGACTGATTACGGGCGGAAGGCCGCTCGGGATAAAATCCGTCGTTATCCCGGCGAATTGCCAAATAAATTACGGGTTAGTAGAATAAAATGAGGTTTAAGAATTAGAAATAAGGGTCTTTTGATCCCGAGAACCCATGAGAACCGATCCTGAAAAAGAAATGAGGGTGATAGGTAAACTTTAGGAATGGGGAATTAATTCAAATTTGAATTAATTCCCCCGCGAAGGGCTTGGCCCATAATAGGGTAGAGGGATTCACCAATCGACACCCGATCGATTGGTAGGCGTGATTAGGGGGGTCAGCGTCATGCGACACTGACCTCCGAAAATCAGTTACGCCTCGACCGTGAAAGAGGTGACACACGAAAACTACAGTGGACACGTGAGTGGTAGTGCACCATCGAGGACATCCCAGGACATCCGAGGACACCAGATCACACCCAGGATGGTCCAAAAGCGAAAGACGAAGGCAGCCAGGGGATCAACCGTGAGTTTACGGTTTTATTTAGATTTTTTCCCCTTTTTGGCGGCTCACCAATAAGTGTTGGCGGTTGTAATAATTTTTTCGAGCCATGGAAATGGCGTCGGTGGTGTCCCCCAAATTTTAGGTGGTTTTTAGAGGTTGTGACGTTGGCCGGGGAATTAAAGTATAATAATTCCTGGCAAAGGCACGATGTTCGGGAAATAAAGATAGTCTAATATTTTTAGGGGCAATTCGCTTGAATTTACGGCGGGGGGGGACCTGAAATAATAACGGGGGGGGGGAGGTGAATAATTACTCAGGCGGGATGATGTAAATAAATAATATATATTCCACTCAATGTTTAAATATAAGAGATCTTACAAAGAATACTCAAGGCCTTTTGCACCAATTAATCGAGGGTGGGGGGTAAGGGCAGCCAACTTGCGACACACGAGTAATTAATAATAATAACGACGTAACCCACACAATGGCCTTGTCCTCCTCGTCTTCACTCCTGGGTCTATGGCGGTTATGCACGGGCAGCTCTCCCACGAATTCCTCCACACAACTTCTCCTCCAACTTTCCTCAAACTTCCCACAAATCCTCCTCGGAACTCCCAACATTTCTCTCCCGAAACTCCCCACAAAATACTCTTCAAGAATAAACTCCACGAAACTCTTCAATACTTACTCTCCCAAAACTCTTTGTAACAAATTATTCTTTACGCGGGGGCAGCTGTAGAAAGAGTAATGGCTTCCCCGTACTCGTGGTTCTTCTTCCCCGGTTATCGGTGATAATCGGGGTCAATCGGGGGCACTCGTCATCGAGTGTCCTCGTCCTAATTATTAATTCGGGGCTCCTTGAGGGATGTCTTCTTTCCCTTTCCGGGTCACGTGGGCTGTGACGTAGTCGTGGGTGGTTTTCTTTTCTTCCATCGGGTGCATGTGGCGGCGAGTGGAACGGCAGGTGTGTGTGGGGGGGGGGGGCGTTTCTCCTTCTCTAGTGCGATGATGTTTCCAACGGGCGTGAGTGTAGTGATGAGTGGGGGCGCCGGGCGCGAGGAAGGAATATTTCGGGAGTGGGAACCAACGGTGACAGGTTTTATAACCTTATCTATTTATTTTACTTAACCTAATTACATCTAAAAAAAAGTCATTATTAGGGGACAGGAAAGGGGCTGACAAAAGTGCCCCATCACAAGGAGTGTGGGGGGGTGGGGTTTCCGAATAATTTCGGCCTGTGTTATCCCCCAGTGCGGTTGAGAGGTTATTGATGCAATTTTGGGGGCGATCCGAACGTATTTTTACGGCGGTTTTTAGAAAAATTGTTCACGGCCAATGAAAAGGCCAGTGGTTCTCCCTCGTGGTGCCATCGAGGCAGCCATCGAGTGGCTACGTGCAACAGGTGGGGAATCGCGCATTAAATTTTCTCGTGGTTATTAATTGGCCCAATGGGGTTAATTATGTACCCTTATGCCTAAAATTTTGTGAGATTGTGGGGAATACTGTCCCGAACAATGTTGTTCAGGGTTTTCCCGAATCTGCTCAGCGGATTCCGAGGTATGGAATTTTTAAGAAAAGTTGAATTTATTGTGGTGGATTTCTCCTCGCTGCTAACCGAGCAGTGAGGCATAGTGCCGTCTCTTTCTCTCTCGCACGCTTATCTGTAGAGGGTCCGATTCCGGGAAATTATCGATGTCCCGGGCGAAAATAATAATTCGTTTATTCCTCGGATTATCGCCGACCGATAATACTTGAGTCCGCATTCCGATGGAATTATTCCGTGTGAGTGTGGGGCAATCAACAAAATATTTCGGGTTTTGTTAGAGAATTTATTTTTCGCGGCAATTTAAAGGGACAATTGAAATTGTATTTAGGTTTTTGTTAGAAAATTCATATTCCGCGATCATGTAAGGGGAGAATTAAATTTGTATTTGGGAATTTGGCTGAAAGGCTAATATTTAGAGAAAGTTAAAATTGCTAATAAAATTTGGAAGCAGAATAGTCCAGTATATATGTTTATCATTGATTGGCATTCTTATACTGAATTTTGACCTGCAATAGCGGAACACGTAAGGACAATTTTTGCGTTCATTCATTTCTTGACTTCTTTTCCCGTATTTAACCCGATTTTTGCAGTGACCTTGTCCCCATCTACGGCCCACCCCTCTCTCCACAACTGGCACACTGAGCGACTCCAGGACCGTCACCTTTCCCCAAGGGCCTAATTATCCTTTCCGCTCCCTTCAGGTTTCTTTTTTTGATTTTAGTGTACATTTTTGAGTTAGTGTTTTAGAGGTTTGAGGTACGATTTTCGATGCAACGAATATCGAGGTTAGTTAAGTTTAGAATTACGGATTTTTCTGGTTGGGTAATTCCGGTCAGAAATTACCTGGCGCCCATTGATTTAAATTGTCGCACGTTTTATTAGGTTCAGAGGAAGTAGGGCGAAGGTAATAGGCATTTTCCATTCCCCGCGAAAATGTCATGTCACAAAAGGGGTCTTTCTCAATTAATAAAAAAAAAGTTTAACGAACTTTCCACCTCGCTGGGGGAAAAAATTGTATGTGCATCACGAGAGGGAAGAAAGTCCTCACTCACACGCGTGTCTGCCCTCGCTTCGCTCGGGTGGCAAACATGACGCGTGTAGGAAGGGCTCTCTTTCTTCTCTAGATGCACAATATATTATTTTTTTCCCTTTGTTCACTTAGTTGCAACTTCCAATGTCGTCTGAATAGTTCCTTTCATGGTGATTTCCGTTGAAACGTTATCGGCAAGATCCAGTTTTCAGATGATGCCTTCATTAATTTCGACGAAGGCTTCCTTGCTTTTGCAGAGATACACCTACTGCCCAAACACCATTCCGAAGATGAAATATCTAAAATTTCTTCTATTATTGCCTATTTTCCTATTATTGCCATTGTCTCCATTAATGCCACTTTCGGCAAATTTTTTATTTTATCGACGTAGAATTTTTTTTATACCGACAAATGCTTCGCATTAATCTCTAGAGTGTGATTTCCTACCCTCTATCGCCAAAAAGAATACGTTTTCGAGCTTAGGAAGTGGTTTTTATTAAATTACAGGCGCTGAACTTATTAAAATTGGTGTGGCTCCTCTACGGAAGGTTAGAGCGATCTGTTTCATTTTTTAAATGATCTACGCCAATTACTAGCTATATATTTTAGCAACAAAAATCTTTGATATAATTCAAATACAATTTCCAGTGCAAAAATATAAGTGGCTATAATTGACACAGTCATACGGATCTATGCGTCAGTTAACGCCATTTATTCCATTAAATGCTTATCCGGCTTAATTTCAAATGGGACGAACGATCTTAAAGAAAAAAAAATCCACAAATTGCATGAGCTGTTCGTCATAAGCCAAAAGAAAAGAACATGGAGAATAAAAGACTGAGAAGAGAGAGAATAGATGCTCAGAATCTGAAGGTTGATGACGAGAAAGACGGAGGAAAACCTTCAAGGAAATCAATTGTTACAATTGGCCACCCTACTAGAAATTTCATAAGGCAATTTTACAGGCCTGGTACGGCATGCCGAACGTAACATTCGGTGCTAGTTCGGTCAGCCTGATCCGGCCCCGATCAAATGTGTTACGCGTTCACATGATCCGAGCCGGGCCATGTTGACCGTATTCGAGCCGAGTACGGCAATACATGATCCCGGCCGGACGATGTTGACCTTATTCGTGCCGAGTCCGGTAATACATGATCCGGGCCAGATGATGTAGACAGTAATCATACCGAGTACGGCGATCAGCTGTGATAAAAAATGGAAACCAAAATTAATTTGTAATGATAGAAACTAGTTTAATTGTTACAGTTCCTTAAACTCCATAAATTTCTCTTAATAATACTAATAAACTTTTTTTCTAGTCCTACACGAACGAAACAATTCAGTAAAAACTGTAAACTTTTTCAAACATTAAACATTAACATCATTTAGTAATATTTGTCATAATTATTAATTACTGCAAACAGTCCACTTTCAATTTTTTGGACAACTCAGTCACGCCGTATTTGCCTCATTCGTTTATAAAAAGTTTCATTCTTCCTGGAAAATTCCTTCGAAGAATTCGTCGTTCGGCTTCGGATTATTATCATTTTGCGGCATTGCTCGTTTCCCTCGCTGTCGACGTCCACCATTCCAATCTTTTGAATTGTTCAAGACTCCACCTAATGCTTTATTGAACTTCTTATAATCTAGTGGTTCTTTCTTCGATCCATATTTGTGGCCGAAAACAGCTAAGGAAAAAAGTGTCAAGTTATTATTTTTCATTGCAATGGGTCGGAAAAGTAACTAACATAATGTAAGTAACTTTGTGATGCGAAAAATTTTATTCGTAACTCGTGAAAAAAGTGATTCGTGGCTCGGAGGACTATATCATTCGCTTTTTTAGTTGGTCGCCTCCTGCTCACCAAAAACTACTTTTTCGCACTAGTTACGAAATATAGTATTTTGAACTCAAGCAGTGATCACTATAAGGAGATAAATATTTTAATAGACATGACCATACCAACGAGGCAAGCGTACAATGTCAGTTCTTTGAACACCTCTTTGCCCTCCGTCTTTTTTAGGGGAGTTATCTGAACAGCCACATTCTGCGTGATCAATTTACGAATAATTTCGCCCAAGTTTCGAGATATTGAACGTTCTTTATCAACGTCCCGATAAATCTTCAGACACTACAAAAAGAAAATGCCTATATTTTATAGTTTTCGAGGCAGCATTGGTAAAAATATTGGTCTGGATTTTCCGTGGCAATTTCCAGAAATTTTTATCGTGTCGCACTTTCATTGCAATTTCAGAACATGTTGGGATTAAAAATGTCAAATTGAACGGAAAAATCGAATAGAACTGTAAATTTCTGTTGCATTTTCCCCTGAAAATGCATAGCAATCAGAAAATTTGGGTGAATATATTTCTAAATCTCGAGAATCGCGACACTGAATGCTATTTAAGGGCGTGAGAAATCACGAAATTTCGGATTTTATGGAAAATTCAGTGGAATTTGACACTGGAAATTCATATTAGGGCGTAAATTTAAATTTATCAAGAAATCTTCAGCTTCATGCCACTTAAAATTCTGGAATTTCCCTGAATTTTCAGTAAAACCTGAAATTTCATAATTTTTTAATCTTTCAATCACTTTCAGTGACACTCCACTGGAAATTCATAGTCAAATATCCATGAATTTTTTTTTTTGTAACAATGGAATAAACGATGCTACTGATTAGAAAACTCACAATCTTTTTCCGGAAGGCTTGATCCTCTTGCAGTTGTCTGTCAAAGATTTTCAACTCTTCTAAATTTTTACAAGGGAGCTTGAAACCATCTCGAACTTCATCCCCTTCAGAATCAATTTTAAAGCCATCATCCATTTGACTTCGGCGGGGGGCATTCCTGATATTAACGATCTCATTCTTTAATTCGACAATTTGCCCCTTGAGCCTATTTATTCTTTGACCATTCATGATCACCTGGCGATAGCAATTGGTCATTATGTCTCGTAAGGTCCCTTCTCAACAAGAATGAAAGAAAAATTATCCTGAGCTGCTACTGCATCTTTCAAATGAACAAATTGGAAATTTGGAAAAAGACTGACTATCAAATAATGGGACAATTGTAAATCTTACGAACAAAAGCATTCCTCTTGTTAGATAGCTGGAGGATAATGCAACGAGAATATTCTACGATTTTATTGTCTTTTAAAAGCCGAATGTGTCTGAAAAAATGACCAGGAATGGAATTTTTCTTCCCACGAAATGTTTCGCCCATATGTTGATATTTCTGGAATACTTCAGGAACTGCCTGATAAACGTAATCTCTATGAATGAGAATGCAATTTTTCTCATGATACAAAAGATAAATAATTCAATTAAGAAGAATAAAAGTTTGTATTCCCCAAAAAAAATATTCATTTTCGGAAATCACTAAAACAAAGATCTTAAATGGAACTCCCAATGGTTCTCCCAATTGCCAGTTACGCATTATCAAATTGAAATCAAAGTGAAGAAGTAAATGAAACGTACCTTCATGTTTCAATCCACCTCTCTCTAAATCTTTAGCAAGGTTTGAGAATGAGACCAGGGTTGCCAGATGGCGATTTTTTCCAAAAATTGTTTTTGGTTTTTCAAGAATGGGATAGATGATAGCAAGCTTCGAATTAGATATCAACTAGGCCATTTCAAAAGTGTCAATCATTCGCGTTATCGGCTGGGCTTGCTTGATTGGGATTGTTTAAAATCAAAAAAACATTTTCAAAAAATTCGCCATCTGGCAACTCTGAATGAGACCGTTGATTCTTTCGGCTTGGGAGGGTTTTTGGAATTATTTGACGAAAATATGTTGGAGAAACCTTGTAGATATTCATCCAAATTCCTTTCCGAGACGAGTCGATTCCCAATATCCTCCAGTGGGGATCTGGGACTAGAGGCATTCACTATCTTAGGAGAAGTCTCAGGATGCACAGGTGATAAAGAGCTCATTGAATTATTTGATGTTGGCGGTAATTGAGAACGTTGGAGTTTTTAAACTTTTGTAGGTGCTACGGATTGTCGTGATATCTTCTTTGGAGTCGATGTTATGAGTTTTTGATTCCCCCGTTGGTGGGGTCGTACAGAGATCTTGTCCATCAATTTGTCAACTTGCACGCTTCCCGAATGCTGAATAATGCTATTTACATTGTTTGGCGAATCAATCATATTAGTCGATATGGTGGATCCAGAACGAGTGAGGTTCTCAGGTTTTTTAATTCTTTTCTTCTGTGGAGACTCAGGAGATGAAGATGGGTCTGAAGAACGATTTAGATTCACTAGTCTACGTTTTGCCGGTTTCTTTGTGGCAACAGAAGTTGGGGAGACCGAAAAGGTGGTTGTACTCCCATCTGTAGATGACGCAGATTTTTCAAAATCAGAACCAGCAGAAAGACTGTCATGGACCTGCTTGAATGTAGTTATGTGTTTAGTAGTGCCCCGCAGTTTCTGCTTTGAATTTGATGAATTTTCTTTTTTTTTTAAATTCTGTCGTGCATCGTCGAACATCTGAGTTATTTCAGCAGAGCTACTCCCAACTACTTGGTTTTTATATTTCTGTTTCTCAAGCAATTCCCTCTTTTTGGGAGAAACATCAGTGTCCGAAGAAAATGCGAAGCTTTGCTTACTCAGGATATATAACTTCTCTTCCAGTTCTTCATAAGAATCTAATGAAGATGAATAACAGTTTTTTCAGGAGAAACGAAATTATTCCGATAATTATTTCCTAAAATATATTACGAAAACAAACGAAACCGTTCTTTTTTACGCATTCCGATAATTTATTGTCTATAAATAAAAGAGGAGTGTAGTCCAATGAAAATGAAATGAAAATTTATAATTTTTTATCCCTTCCTAATTATGTTCAAAATCTAAAAATTCAAAACACTTAGTTTATATATTGGAGATTAGTGTAAAAATTTTTGAAAAAAATAAAAATTTTAAAGCCAGATGATGCCCGCAATTGATGAAATGTGGTACACATCAAATAAATCAATTAGATGAGAGGCAATATAATTGAATATTATTGAGAAGTTATTTACCTGCAACTCCACGAATCTCCACCTCATGAACTGGCCAAAATTTGTCTTGACCTTCATTGGCTTTTATCATCTGTAGTATTTCTTCATATCTGTTATTATTATTCAACGGAATTTCCGGGTAGGAACAGAATAATTTCTCAACGCTCTTGTCGTAAAAAATCCATTTTGATGGTACCCCATCCATACTTTTGAGTCGCCCTTTGTCTCGAGGAAAAACGACACACTTATATTTCGGAGATATTGTGACACTCATCTATAAACATGCAGCACATAACATCAGGCCATATAAAATACAATTTAAAGGTACAATTGGCATTGGCCGAGAGTTGAAAGAACAAATGACAGAAACATTTGAGGTTAGGTGGGTCTAGGGGTTAAGCATTAGGTGATTCTCATCTATCAAACATTTTGAAATCTTTCAATGGACTTTCTATGGAGGGAATGTTGTAGGTAAAGAACTCTATTGTCTCTAATGGAAATTCATGGAAAGTCATACTACTTTTTAATGATATTTGGATGTGTCTGAAGGAAAGATGACTGAACGTTCCAGAGCTTGGCTAACGCACGAATCCATACAAATTATGCTTTTTTCAATTGAAGAAACTTTCACTAGTTCACTTGAAAAGAAACTTCGTCTGATTACATTGGTAATCATCAAATAAAATGAAAAGAGAATCCGCAAGTGATAGCACAATACACGTGACAAGACGCCGCATAAGCCGGCCACTGCAGAGACTCTGTTGGGTGCCAAGACGCCGTGTCCAACTTAGCGCCATTTTGATGTACTGAGCATTGATGTATGACTAATTTCAACGAAATTATCTTTTTTTAGCGTTATTTCCATTACTGGAACTGTTCAACAATTGTATGACACATGGCGAAACATATACTAAATTTTTTTAATAGGTTTTGTTGAAGGAATGCCTTGAATGCTTGGAATATTTTTTATTATGTAATCGTTTATGCACACAGAGTCACCACGAAAAATATAGACAATCCGATATTAATTTTTTTTTCCCTGAAAATGATCTGAAAATATCTCATACTTTAAGTCATGCTATGGATATTGAAATGCAGTAAGAACCAAAATGCTTGAATCATAGAAATAACGCAGGTGTGAGGTTATATCTCGTTGTTTTCGTATTTTTCTGTTCCTTCAAATCAAGACGATGTAATTTATTCCCTGTGATGAAAGTGAATTGATTTAATGCATAATTACCTTCCGTCTAATGATAATGAATGGATTCCAGGCAAGATAAAAGGAGGAACACCACGAACTGCGTTGTGCCGGTTACGGAGAACACGTGTCACAGAGTAAAATCGATCGTTTTATAAATGAAAATACGAATTTTTCAAGGAAGCAAATTTATTTCCATAAGAAATGAATTCGATTGAAAAAAAACTGTCAAATTTAGCCTGCATATAGTCAAGTTTGTTAAAACAATACGATTGCAGGGGCAGCTTGCATAGTCGCCATGCCTGTAGAATGTATGACAAAAGGGCCCTCTAGGAATGGAAAAAGAAAACAATTTGAAATGAAATCGAAATAAAGAGTGAAAACGTAAATTCAAAATATCTCAAGACAGTTTATTCAAAAGAAATGATGGTCAATATAAATGCATAGAATATGCATGAAAAATGCATGAAAATTATTGTAATGTCCGAGAATTACATATGTAATAATGGCATTGTGTAAATCCTCTCCCTTTTTTCATCGCTCATGTCAAAAGTTACCATTTTTTGTGATACAGAATTCAAATTATGAGTCAATTGTCTTGTCATACTTCTATGGACACACCACATGTTGAGATCGTTAAAGTCACACGGGTACATGAAAATCGATTTTGTTTTAACTAATTCAATTCCTCGAATGTGTATATTATGAAGTGTTCCATGAGGCGGGAGATACATTTCATCAATAGCTAAGATGATTCCAGTATTCAGAAGTACGGTATTATTTGGTGATGTTGGTGTTAGAATGATGTCTTTATAAATTAAACGTTTGATGATAATTTTTCCGTTCGTATCAGCACAGAGACTCTTTAATATTTTTGTGATGGGAGATACAGAGGAAGGCTTTCGAGATTTGGAAAAAAATAATTCATTTAGCCGACGACATACTTGAGCGAGAGGTCTGTTGCCTGATCTGAGCAGCCTTTTTATTTTCCCAAGCGCATTCTCGAATGGAAATGCAGGAATATGGTAAAGGGGACATTTCATATACCCTACGTCATCAGCTAAATGAATTAGATTGTGTGTAACTCCAATCAAAATAGTATTTCCATATAGTTTTGGTGCTAATACAATAAATTTCCTCAGATAATGCCTAGCGCATTCCCAGTTTCTCACAGCAGTGTCTTTCGAGCACAAAATCCTGCATGCTGCGTGAAGCAGTAGAAAATGTTTATAGATGTTGTCAGATAAAATTTTTCTAAAGATAACAGGTCCGGCATAAAGGAGAATAAATTTAAATTCCACTGCATTAAACATTTCAAAATTGATTAAAGATCTGGTTGTCCTTTGAAATTCTGAAGGAATTTGTGTCTGCAAGCTCACCAAGTATTTGGAGAGAAGCAATTGAGTTGTCTGACTTAACTTTGTTCTTGATAGTTTACCTGAAATCCAGTAGTTTAATAATTTTTTCATGTTCCCTAAACACACCAAATGCATAAAATCGACAACGAACATAGAGACCATGTTAACAGCCGGTTTGATTTTCAACAAGGGAGAAACACCTGTATGATGCTCGGGATTACTCTGTTCTCGGAAAGACTCATCAGTCCTCTCTTCATAATCAACACCAGGATGAATGACTCGACGCTAGTAGCTATTAAAGGGGGGTTCTGGATATTACTTCGCAAACCCGCCACCAGATGGCGCCACCCGTGACAGTCTGCTTTTCAAACGCGCCACCACATGGCGCTCCCTGGCGGTGACTGGTAGTTGGCACCACATAATTGAAAATTCATTAGTTTTTTTATTTAGATCAATAGTAGGACCTTTGTACATCATTGTAATACAATTAAAAAATTTTGTAG